CCGTTAGTCCGATGCGACCAACTGTTGTCTTCGAGGAATTTAAAAGTGTTGCGACAATCCATCTGTGGATACGATAACGAAGTGCCAAATGTTTGCTGTCCTATCGCCAAGAAAGTTACCCAGAGTACTGCCAAACCCAGACCTACCAGACCCCCAACCAAACGACCAAAAGCTCCGAAAACTAAACCAACTTTAAGGGCAACCACTTCCACGCCTAGGGATGTAGTCGATGATCAGCCGAGTGGTCCTAATTTAGGACTAAGACCACGAAAATTACCAGAATGTGAGTTCAGTTTAAAATAATACATTGAAATTTTCATTTAGCTTTAATTAACTTCAAACTTTCAATTAACTTTAAATTTTTATTTATTTAAAGTTTGTGGAAATACCAGTATCATTGGTAAAACACGCATTGTTGGTGGAAAAGTGTCCCATCCCGGTGCCTGGCCATGGATGGTAAGAAACCAAGTGTTCAAATGAATATATTACTTCATACACTCTATGTGACATAAGGCGGCAGTTTTCATAGAGGATTCCGATAACCAAGGCTCTTTTATCGCTCAATGTGGAGGTGCTCTTATTTCGGAACAAGAGATCATAACTGCATCCCATTGTGTGGTAGAAGGGGGTCGGGTGTTGACGCCCGAGAAGATCAGAATACGGTTAGGAGAACACAATATCATGAAGAGAACCAAAGACGACGCGGAAGTCGATTACAATGTGATCAAAGTGACGGCTCATCCAGACTTTGAACCGCAAACTTATAAAAATGATGTCGCGATCATTAAACTCTCGCAGCGAGTATTCATTTGTCTCAACAGTATTTCTCGTGAATCTTATCATATTTTCAATGACTAACCCAAAGGTACGTTTCAATCGACGTGTTTGGCCGATATGTCTGCCATACGACACACGAGTGTTGACTTCTGAAGAGAATGTCGGCAGAAGTGGTTTTATCATCGGTTGGGGAAGACTTGAGTTCAATGGGAAGACGAGCGAAGAGTTAAGGGAAGCCTCCATTGAGATCGTGTCCAACAAAGAGTGTGGACAGGCTTTTGACAAAGTGGTCAAAATTACTGATGAATACCTGTGCGCCGGAACTACTGGATCGACAAAAGATAGTTGTCAGGTAAATTAACCTAAATTAACCTAATTAACCTAAAAAATTAACCTAATTTGTCAGGGAGACTCTGGCGGACCTCTCATTCAAGTAGATCCGGAAAATAAGAAATACTATTTGACAGGAATTGTCTCATTTGGAAAACGGTATGTCTCCATACATTCATGCAATTACTAATATATATGAAACATCTACAGGTGTGCCACCCCTGGCTTTCCCGGGGTCTATGCGAGAGTCTCTCATTTCTTATTGTGGGTGGCAAAGAATATTTGAGACAAATGTGTTTTTTTTGTTTATTTGAATTGCAGATCATATAAACATTTGGATCGTAAAACAAATAGAGGAATAAAACAAGAATATTCCTATTATTGTGAGAAATGACTGAATGCTCTAATGACAGTGTTTATACA